GAAAAGTGCGAACGGACGGTTGACCCCGTTGCTAAGTAGACTTTTGATTACGAAAGCTCGACCACCTGGGACCGCTGAACTGATCACTTTGCTGAGGTAGAGCAGGAATCATTTCTAATCCGAACTGGGCTATACCGTGGTACTGGCTTGCCCCATCAATTCCCCGAGCACTCTGCTCAAAGCAACCACTTTTATGAACGGAAGCGCAAATCGGAGTGCGCGGCGCATCCAAAACTCCCCTTTATCCTTTTTTCGGATTTTTCTGTTGGGCACTCGTGGCGTTAGAGGTGAAATTCAGGAAAGAGCATCCAGAAACCGCTGGTAGGTGACACTAGGATTAAGCCCAGGAAAGGAGAGAAGCGCCTGTGACAACGAAGGACCTCACGTTCCCCCCTCCCCTCCCAGAATCCCTTTTCCTCACTAGGTTTGGTTGCCATTTCTGTAGGTTGCTCATTCACATCAATGCCCCACCCCCTCCCCCTTAACGCATGAGCGCTTTTTGTTGTTATGCAAGCGTTGTTTGTATGAAAATCAGTCCCTCCTTCAAATTTCTTTTCCTGAATAGTTTATTGCCCTTCGATTGGAAAATCTCGAGCATTCCCAGAACCGTTTTGAAAAACGATCCGCTCCTCGTTAGCAATGATTCACTGCCTAATGGCCGGATTACTGTAGTTGGTTAATTACGGTCTTATGATTGCGTCAGTACGCACCGGGCTGGCTTGCCTCCAATAACAATGCCCAATTGCATTAAAAACAGAAAAAAATCTATTTTTCAAACTAACCGGAGGTCGTTCTCCTGAATGCCAACGCAGATGTGCTTTCAGGTGACTGCTTTTGTTATAGACCTTTCCACAGCCGGCGATATGGCAATTGTGAATACCTCGTTTTTTCACCGGCACGTTATTGATTCCTGAAAATGCACATAAATTGAAGGCGTAACGTGGTCTGGCCTGGGTTTTTGAGCTCCAGCTATCTCTTTCTGTCTATCTTGAGCTGATAGATATGCATGAGACAGCAACACATTATAGCACACCGCGAATAAGATAGGATCGCTGAATGGCTACTGATCGGCAGCGATAGCCGTTAGCGAAAAGCGTTCCGACACGATTAGGACTGAACGTCACGGATTAACACCCATCGACACTGAGGAACATTCCGAAAGGATTCACTATGAGCGATTTGCTTTCCCATGAGGCTATTTTTGTCGCTTTTGAAAATACGAAAAAATGCTGTACATGCCTTGTATGAAGTTAACTGATATGTTGAGAATTTGATACTACAGGATCTACGATTACTGCTTTATGGGATTTGTTTGAGTGTACAAAAATCTCGCTAGTGATGTTTCCCTGGCTCCTTGTTGTATGAGGAGGTGTTTCAGGGCGTCCAATCGTCAACTTACTACGGACATTTCAAGAAGGGGTCCGTTTTTGGGGGCTAGCTTTTGACGGTACATCCCCTGCTGCTCGAACTCTGCTTCATTTTCACAAAATCATATTGAATCATATATAAAATGAGGACCTCCACCATTCAGACATTCGAAGCACAAGACTTATCAGCTACAAGCAGCGCAGAAGCTATTTAACCAGACCCTACTGGTATATTCTTACTGTTATTTGTTCTCTAAAAGCCTCTACATGCTTCTCGAACCCCCTTGCGGGTACAATCGCTCTAACAAAACTATAAATGATACTTAGAGATTTGGTTATACGAAACTGAGGAGACTATGTTTAGCTCAAAGAGGACACCAGTCGTCGTCACGATCGAAGGCCTCTTTTAGAGGAGGGATCTACCAATCCCGAACATTTCTACAGGAAAGTGCCAACTCCTTGAATTATAGCTCAAGATGAAATCTGATAATCCTCTGCTGACTGTACGCACCCTTCGAACAGTTGTCTAACAATGTTAAATGTGTGATAAACAATGTGAGACTCCAAATATTTATTGCAAAAGACTCTAAAACTTTTTACAAAAGAATTTGCAAAAGTGTGAGTGCAAAAGTTATTTGTAAAAGCTTAGGTCTTTTTGGCGAGCTTTCGGCGCTTAGCGCCTTTACACACGCTTCGAGACCCCATTGCCGGGTTCAATCGTTTTACAAACAAAATTGCAAAAGTGGCTAAAGCCGAAAGCTCGCCAAAAAGACCTAAGCTTTTGCAAATAACTTTTGCACTCACACTTTTGCAATTTCTTTTGTAAAAAGTTTTTAGAGTCTTTTGCAATAAATATTTGAAGTCTCACATTGTTTATTACACATTTAATCAACATGAGACTTCGGGAACAGAACAAGTTGTCTAAGCAAATTTAGTTAAAAGAGCTATTCAAAATTCCTGTGGAAACGCTAAACTGTAGAAATCCGTAGAATAAATTATGTCGATGTCCACTACACGGCCTCCTCAAAGGAACATACCACACGAAACCTTGTTGTCCATGGCATACCATCGAATATAAGCGATTTTGTGGGGTACCAAAAAAGGTTGAGCGTTCTTCAAAGTATTACTTAATTCGCTTTCTGGAATCGATAGAAACGACACGACAAAGCAACTCTTCAGTTCAAATTGGAACCGTCATCCTCTTTGAAAGACTGCTTCTGATACAATAGCGAGCCAAAATTATCCTGAAATCAAGCAGTAACCGTTTCCAATAGAATTTTCTAGTAGTCTGAGGTAATGCCGTGCAAAAATGCTTTTCCAGCTGAAGGCCACCAGCTTTTTTGTCATTGCGAGTCACGAAGGCCTTTCGATTACTTACTTAAAGGAGGATTGCACGGAAAGAACGAAGGTCGAAGAAGGGAGAAATCGCCTAGTGGGGAGAGCGGTGAATCTCTTGAGGGTGCGGACAGACACGCAATCGGCATCGAAAGATTTGACCTCTGAGATCTAGCATGGCTCAAAGTTGGCGAGTTCGGCGATCTCCGCCCACCGATCGTCTGATCACTCGCCGTAGTACAATACGTGGCGAGTGATTAGATAGCTGAGAGAGCGTAGGGTTGAAGAGGGCAAAGCGATGAGAGTCCCATCAATGCTCAAATCAACGGACAAGGAAGGGGTCCCATTTCTCCGGTTCTGGGCCGTTTTTCGTGGTTTCGCTTTCTTTCTGGTACTACTCACCATCTCTACCTCAATTTGGAATGGGTTGCTTTTCCATCGTAAATTCGTCCTTTAAATGCCAACAGTACACAAATGGAAGAAACAACGATCGACTTGACTGGCCAAAAAATTGGATTTCAAATAAAATTTCATTTACAATCATTCTATTTCTGAAATGGGAGTTATGCGACACTGCATGAGGTCTATAAGGTTGACATAAAGGTCCTGAATAGCTTCACCTCTACGATGGTTGGTTACTACAGGACTCGAAAGAAAACGGGGTTATATTTTTTAAAGGTGCCTGAGTACCGAGGAACGATTCCGTCGCTTATCACAGGGGGGAAATTTTGTTGTTGAGACTTCATAGAAGTACTTTCCCCGTGCCATCAGAACCTCTAATGGAATCGGCGCTTGCACAACTGGAGGCGTTATGTGTTGTGTGGGCAATTACGGTCACTGAACAGACACGTTGAGGAACAGACACACGAAAATTCTCTAATTGCCCACAGTATGCCAGACAAAATGCAAAAGGTTACTGTAGTCATTCAATACTGTAAACGTACTGCTCTTATGGGTCTTACCTAAAATATAACTAACAAGAAATCCGAAAGAAAGGGGCGGATGTAATCATAAAAACTCGTTGGCAAGGCAGAGAACTTGTAGAGTGCAGTTCTGAGACTTGACAAGAATTTGTAGCTATTTAATATGCTGATGTTTTTCTCTGATCAAATTGCTTTGTGGAAGAGCATTTGAAATTCTAAACGAAGAAGTAGAAGGCTTATGAAAGTGTGTCAAAAGGGCAGATTAGCTAGCATAAGGTCAATATTTCAAATCTGAAGAATGTTGCGTTGCCAAGACCAATTCCCGAATTGTATTTTCGAGTTTTTCCGACTTTTCGAGGGTGCTTTTTCGCTCACCCCAACTAACTGATGAACCGGGGATTGAAGAAATAATAAAGCTTGTCTGGGGAGGGAGCGAAACGAGGCGTTTTGGTCTATTCCACTAATAAAGTTTTTATAAGTGATATCCATCTCAATTGTAGATGCACTGAATTTTATCAGACCCTTCCCTAAAGATCACTAACGCTCAGAAGCTCGAACTTTCCTCAGTCTTGCAACATATATGTATTCAAAAAAAGCATGGGAGGCACGAGAGCCGAGGTGATGATTTGCGTAACGACGAGACCTTGGGAATCATTATCGAGCAAGATATACTGCCAACGGAGAGGCAATGCGGTTATGTAACGCGATGACCGATACGATCATCTCGCCTCGGTGATGCGCGTTCGTCCATGAAATCGCTACAACTCCAGAAGAATAACGGCGTTAGGTGAGTGGATGGATCCTTGCGGAAGCCGCTGATCGGCAAATCCTCCACGTCCGGGTAAGCCTTCCCTTTAGTTTTTGCGCATTACTATCACAGGATTGCAATTTGTGGGCGAAAGTTTCTCCCCAGCCGGGATTCGTACCCGGAACTCTTGCTTTTCGGGCAGTTGTGGTGCCAGTACATCAGTTACATTATCATCATTTTACTAAAGTTAGCTGTTTAGAGACAGCTTCACCAGGGAGACAATTAGGAAATAAGGTTTCCCGGGCCCGGTTAAGGCAATGTTCATTCTCGTGATCCAAGAAGATGCACTGATCACCATAGAATTGAAAGAAATCCTCTGAACCCGTATTGCTTCAAATCTAGCACAAAAGCCCCAATTTAGGGCCTCATCACTGAAAGAAGTCAAAGCGCCCGAATCCCGGAATAAATCAGCCAGAGACCCCCCGGGTTTTTTTTTTTGGCAGCAATTATCGTCCTCAAACTTCGAAATTGAAGGTTTCTCATGGTCACACACTTTGGGCCAATTGCGCTATCCATCAAAGAATTTGAAGAAACCCGACTTATCCTCACCTACTCGCTCAGCTTCCTGACAATTCGGACATTCGCAATTGCCTCTCGGAAACTTTCCACCTCCGGCTGACGTCGTTGTGTTGGTTTTCCGCGATCGTTAATCGCTGATTTAGCGATGATGTCGATGGCGGTACTGAAGACAGCAGCCCCAGTTGGGAGGACAAGTAGGGAGAGTAAGCGTCCACTGAGGTGTACGGTAGTGACCATGTGCCCGTTTGATCCCACCTGAAACAAGATAGCTTAGGGAAGCAGAAACGTATTGAGAGGGTCGGGAAACCTACCATGGAGCTCCTGGCCAGTAGTGCTGGTATTGTGGATACGTGGAGTCGGATGTGGCTGGAGACTTGTCTACTGCAGGTTTGGCCTGGAACGAAATTTATTGGATCAAAATTTGGCCCAAAGGCATCCACACGACTAGAAAAATTGGGTTACATTTATCCCAAGAAAAAGGAGTAATAAACAGTAAAGAAATGGCAGCTTGAACTTGCCTCAAGCTTATCTAGAATCACGTTAGCGTTGAGGCGACTGCATTGTTCCATCAACTTTCCGAGTGGACCCTGATCATTCTGAAACACCGATGTTGGCAAAATGCCAATAATGGCTGTAAAATAAAATAGCTGTAAATGTGAAAAGAGGCAAAGGAAGTGGTGGCCGTTCACCAGCATGGTAGCTGGAGCCCGCTGAACCGCACAGAATCATCTTATATACTATCGCGATAATAAAGGGTGACGAAAGGGAAGAATGTATGATTAGGCCGTCGCCCGCAATCCTGTTATTTGCTACATAATCATATCCTCGAATTCTCCAATAAAACGTCTGGACGTGCCGACAACTGAAAGCTGTGCCGGTCGTCTTCTAGTAGTACTACCTACCGAAAGAGGTAGCATCGTTGTTGGAGCAGGAGGAATCGCTGTCGTGGTCGCTGACGTCTGATCCGCACTGTTCATACCGAGCATGTCTGGCCACTTGGGCCACGCCCATCGGCCGCAGCCAGGCGCTACCGTAGTCCGAGAACGAATCGGCGACGGGGTATCCCATACAAGACTGCGACAAGAGCTATCAGGATGGACCGGACAGGCTTTGTGATTTGGAAGGTAGCCAAAGACAAAAACTTAATTCCACTTGAATCGATTTTCAGGGCCTGGTGGTGTGTGATTCTTCGGGTACTGCAGTGTAATTGCTACATACGGTATGCAATTGTGTGGTGTGGCATCGCGTGATTCCAGGTGTGATGTTCCGCAAAGAGCTGCCGCCTACCATTACGAACGCTGTTAACTCGCGCTCTCCCACCACTAACGAGGCCAACTTAGCGCCTCGCCAAGAAAAAACGCCTTGAAACTCGCTCAGACCGGGTGGCACCAGACCCACACAAGCGCTCTTGTTATCGAGCCTTTCTTTACACTTCTAACTGACCCCTTTCTGCGATTTTTCACTTATCAAGGTCAGATAGATCAGGAACTGTTGTCGTGCTTTGAATGTTTGGCTGTAGAAAGCTTTCATTCTTGTATTCCGATGCGTTTTGAAGGCGCCTACGATAGCTTTGAAAGACGCCTTCAAACATATCTCAATTAAGTATGAAATTTAACTGAGCTGGATTTTGAACTCTTGCTGAGCAACGCGGTAACCCTTAACCTAGCCTAATAGGGTTGAGGTCAGTCGCAGCTTCTCGTCATCACTTCAAATCTCGCTGCCCCTCCATAGCCAAACGGATCAATCGCCGTCGCTCTCTGTATAATTTTCGGCTTCCGCCTCATTACAGAATTTGTACATCTGGAACGGGTTTCATGAACAGCCGTTGGCGAATCTCCAAACACACACACATTATTTTCCGTCCCCTCCTTCCATGAGAAACCTCTGTTCACATTGGATTTTTAGTTTGGTTTTAATTTCACTCTAGTTATTTAGTTAGTTATTTTCCATATAGCTTTCAGCAGCCGACCAGCTGGAAATTCATGATAAATCGGAGACCGGGAGTTGATGGCAGTATTCAGGGTTCCTTCAAAAGCCGTCGGCCTTTTTCTAACCCAAGACATACTGCTGTTCTGGAGAGGTGACTATGTTCCTGTGGGTTCACTTTCGGCTAGTCCATCCGTCACGTGTGTTCAGCCGTTTGTTGGAGAAGCGGCCCAGAGAAAGGGACTCATTTTGGGGAGATGGATCCTCGACACGAATATGAGGACCTTCAGAATGATGCATTTTTCTGGAACATTTAGGGCCCTTCGAGAATCCGTATGCTTTGTCATCTCAAATCTGTATTCCTTCATGATTCCCCCACTATCCCACCCTTTACCCCTTGCTCCATTGTGTAGGAAGGATTTCCTCAAATGCGGAAAAGAAGATCAGTAACCTCCCCTTCAAAAAGCGAGAAAGTGTCGGGTGCAGACCAAACACCACAACTGACGACGGCCTCCAAGTAAATCTGGTTAGAAGTTGTTCATAGTGATAGCTGATTTCTGGTAAATGATAGTTGTAATTAGTGACAATCGATAGAATACAACTGCAACAGGCTAATCATTTCATTGGCAGAAAACATTAACATTTTGTGAAGGCCGTCGTCACTTGTGGTGCATGGTCTGCACCCGACACTTTCTCGCTTTTTGAAGGGGAGGGTACATATGTAGTAAAGGAGTGCCATAGGAAGCACGCGAGTTTGGGGCTCACACGGTGACTATCGCTAGGGTGGGGGATTCGCTTGTATATTTTTTTCATTTCTAAAAAGGGCGGTTGATTCTGATCCTGACCGTTCATAGAATGAGCAAAATGATTCCGCAAGAAATGATTAGGGCCATACATCTGTTTCTGCTTCAGAAAAACCTTCATTCAATTGGATTTCCTTTTTTTCTGAAATTTATTAATTAGATTTTCTAATTAAAATGGGATGATGGAGCAGGGTTCCAAAAGTGTGAACGATAACTCTCGACATCGTTCCTGAGATATGCTCCTGGATATTCGCAATATTTCCGAGGTTCATGGCGTCCAGCTTTTCGCAACTGTGAAGTGACGATTCGCTTCAATGCTCTCATTTCTCTCTTCAGCCCCGAAAAATAGACAGCCGCCCAGCGATCAATCCTAGAACCCATCACGACGATGAATTCGACCATTTTCCAAAGGGTTGCACTGAAAACTCTTCAAACTATCGGAAGCTGAGGCTCTGAGACTTCTGGATAGACACTGTAGTCTCAAGCTGTTTTTGCACATCTAAACCAGAATGGGAGTTGAGGCCTAAAACCCACAGGGTCACTCAATAATCAACCTTTTACTCAGAAGATGGTCCATCTATTTTCACAGCTAGTCGTGATTTTTCAGCGATCGACCTGCCCTGGCTCCTTTTCGTTGCCTACGCGAGCCCCACCTTTGTTCAGGGATGCAACGTCTAAAAGAAATCAAGTCAATTCTCTCCGAAAGCTACTGACTCTCAGAGTGGGGCAGGAACAGGATCACGAACGCTGATAAACGAGCTGGTTGTGGGAGGCTTTTTGCTGGACTTCTTAGTGCGATTTCGAATTCAACGAAGGTTGAGGCAGAACGAGGGCTGCTATCGCAGACGAGGTGGGCAATTGTGGTGATAATACAATTAAAACCACGTATGACATTTCCTTTCTATTAAAAAAAGTGAGCTTAGTTTTTGGTGGAAGGAGAGACCCAGGAGAGATTCGCGAGCCAACCTTTCATTTTCTCCGAAGTTCCTGCTATCTCCTATGCTTGGTACAGGGGATGGACCCTGCGATGGCGCTAAGAACGGTACAAAGGATAAGCTTTTACTACAAGACGACGTCACGAGAGGGCTTTGAAAATGAGTGGGTTACTTACCGGAATTAATTGAAACATTTGAAATTGAGTTGAAAGAAATTGAATAGAATTCTATGCAGCTTGAGTTCTGTTTGACTATGGTGTTTGCTGCGCCCGCCGTGTAAGTGACTGATTGGGAGAATAGGCTCAACTTCTACATTTACTCGAAAAATCTTGGACAGCTCTCACAAGACCTCAAGCGCTTAAGAGCTTTTTTTCTAAGATTTCGTGTATGCATCGCCCAAAATTTTTCGAAATTTTTCTGCTTAAAGGAATCTTCCGCGGAAAAAGCTCCGCCTCCATTACCACAGAAAAACGATACCCCTTAGGCCCCTAGCCTCATGAGCATAGCAAAAAGAACGGAACATAAGCGTTAGTTTCGATAATACTAATCCTACACACAAGACAAAATGATCACTCTTTCCGTGGAAGATTCCTTTAAGGTATCGTTTTCTGTGGTAATGAGGGCGGAGCTTTTTCCGTGGAAGATTCCTTTAAGACTTTATCTGGCCTGAAAAACAAGTTATCATGCTGCGCTCAAGTCACAATAAGCCAGCTACCGTGCTGAAAAGTTTCTGAAGTTCCTGAGCCTCTAAGTTGTTTAAAATGTGACTTACGGAAGCCTCTAACTGGTGCTGTAGTGAAGTTGTGAGCACTGAAAAGCTTCCCGAATTTCCATAACTGTAGAGTTTGAGATGAGTTTAGTGATCTTAAACTGGTTCACCAGAGACGTTCTTGTTCCAGGCTCTAGGGGTCTAGGAAGAACCTGTCTGTCTTGCGCTTGTCTGAGTTTTGTTTGATTTAGAACTTCTGCAGGGTAGCGGCGAATTTGGGTCGGGTTTTTTGAATTGGCTAGACCTTTTGCAGGCTCTTAAAAAGGCGAACCCGCCGAAATGTTAGCCGAGCAGGTTTCTTTTTAGAAACCTCGTGTTGAGTTCAATGGAAGGGTTAGATCTAGAAGAAACGTTGCTCGAAAAGGTGTAGACATCAAGATGGTGTTAAGATACCATAAGGATGTACTGTGACGTGCGGTTGGCCGTGTCCATTCTATTCGGGGTGGGTTTTCACCCGTCGAGAACCTATCATTTGCCATCGCCACCCGCTGTGTGTCTCCCTTGGCATGTCAGGTGCACAGAAACGACAACTACGTTAATGCAATTAGCACTAAGCTCTCACACTCAGCGGGTGAGAGGACTCGGTTCATGGGCTGATCGGGGTTAATTCATTGTTCCCTGGAGCAAAGCCTTTACAAAATGGTGGTCTGTGTGGGAAACGGGCATAGCAACTTTTGGCTGTGAACCTCATTATTCACGCCGTTATTTGCCACTTTGCGGCTTCTTTGCAAGAGCTATGATTTATCTATTTGTTCGTTACTATACCCACGTAGGCGCGCCACAATAATTCGTCAGAAAAAATCGGGTCTATTCCAGTTAGGGGGGCATCATGATGCAGTTTCTCGGCGAACTAGTGTGAACTCGAACATTCCAGCTTTTCACGCATGTCAAGTGACTGCCCTCACCCCCCCCCCCCCCTAGACTGGCTACACTCCCCCTGGCTCGGAGTTACCCTAGCTTTCTGGAAAACTGCATCATGATGCCCCCTAACTGGAATAGACCCACCAAATCAGTTATGAATCAGAAAAATTGATTCAAAATAAACTCAAATCAATCAATTTTACCCACAAGCGGGAAGCTCTCAGACACCAAATACTCGAAATCGTTGATGCCTAATAAGGCAAGTAAGTCTACGCTCCTTAATTTCCTTCTGAACGCTTCGGTGTTTTGCGCCAGTTGCAAGTCTGCCTTCTTAAGATCTCTTCGAAATTCCTCTGATCCTTCAGACAAAGGGCCCAGGGACTTCATCGTGGAGGGTGGAAGAAATGACGGAAGTCTGTTTTTAACAACGCATCCGTGGCTGGGTGGACACCTGCGCGATCGTTTGTAGCGGTCAATGGTGTGTGAAATTCGTTGATGGCTGGGTTAACTGGACCCCGACAGCAGCCACAAAGGTCCGGGGTGACATCACGTGTTTTTTGGGGATCACCTGAGCATGGTCTTAGAAAGACTTGGGTTACTTCCGTTGACATGTAACCCAGTCATCAGCGCTGATGTATCGACTGTCGTCTGACGTAGTGCACATGATGACGTAATCGAAAAGGACAAGTAGTAACTTCAAGGTCATTACTTTCGCATCAATCACCTCGCCACTGAGGGAGGAGGAGCAGCAGCCAGCTCAGTTAGGGGGTGCATACGCGCGCAAGCACCGTATTCCGCTCGCAATTTGGCCCATCGATTAGTGTCGCGTTACCAAGACGAACGCGAGAGTTATTGTTAATCTACCTTAATCCCCGGGTACAGTATATCTTTCATATACGTAACAATGCTCTATTAAGGGATTAGTATATTCGGAAGTATGCGCTGACAAGCCCAGGGAAGACAAACATCGTCCGACGTCAAATCAGACGCGTATTTTCTGACGGCTGAAGTCTCAAGTCTTCAAACGCAATTCAAATACGTCATCAACGCCGTCGGACGCCGTTTAGAAGAATACGGTAGGATAAAGTGAGTTAATGGCTACCTTTCAGGCGCATTTAAAACTAATTGTAGCTTGCAATCGTCGTTAGAAAACCATCGCAGCTATAGTGAAAGAAGATGAATGGTGGAGCTCGCCTCGTTCGTTGACGACGCCGAATTCCACACAAGGAGCTGCTGTCTCCAAAAAGGACCTGCGGGGCGGCGACGGGGATAAATTCGTGGGCGAGGTGAGTCACGGGAGAGGGGCAACTAGCTGGGGACATAGGCGTGCATGACGCATCCACAAACGGATTGGCCAACACTAAAGTGCTACTTGGCACTGAAATGAGTGAGCCTGACCCAAATTCCCGAACTTCCCTCTGGAGTTTGCTGCCATCCTCCGAGACCGTTCGTGGGCAGTCTCTCGATAAAGTCGTTGCAAAGAAGTCTTCATAGCGAGAGTTCAGACGAACTTTGAACCGAACAACATAAAGAACTTCTTATAGAGCTGCAAACCATTTAATGACGTGCACAGCATTCCAAAAAATACTTCAAGGGCTTAGTGCCAGCAAGCGGTCGAAGCTGCGTCCTAACTTTTGCCACCCTACTTCCGCCGGAACAAAAACAACTAGAACTAGTTGTGAAAGTCCTTCATCTTTGAGTTGTTAACGGAAAGTCCTACTCATCGTGGTCACTGTGGTCTTAACATAGACGATGAGTTTTTCAGAGCTGATTAATAGCACTCTAGAAGCGCCATGAAACCGAGCCACCATTCAGTGGCTGCAGTTTTCCAATGGAAGTGTCCAAAACTTATCCATCAGTCGTTTTGCTGTCCAAGTTACCGATAAGGGATCGAAGTGAGCGCCAATATTATTCCGCGATTCGATTCCTTGGATCAATGAGTGTGGTCAAACAGCGCCGCTGCCGCTACACCAGCGTTCTTCAATCTGAGCAAAACCTCACAGGATGGCAGACTCGCCAGCATATGCCCTGCTTCCGAAACCCAGATGCTCGTCGAGTGCAGACCACACATCACAATTGACGACAGCGCCCATAATATGTAAAGTTTTTCTGCCATGATATGACCAGCCGGTTACAGTTGTATTCTGCCAGTTGTCAACTTAATTACTAGCTATCATTACCCAACTGCCAAGTATCACATGAATCCACTTAATAGTCCAGGACTTTCTGGAGAACTGTCATCGGTTGCGGGTACATGGTCTGCAACTCGGCTCACCTTAGCTTTCCGAAACTGAGGTTATATATTCTGACAAAGGAGCACTTTATTGGCACTGGGCTACTAGAAGGGCTCACGTGGAAGGTCTGCTTTCCGCTTATGGGTGCTGATGTGCCTTGAGGTTGCCAAAACTTTGTTATCTACTCAACTTATTGTTAGCTACGAAAATAAAAAAAAATTATCTAACCTCAAGTCCATAAGCCGTTCTTTTGGTGTCTTTTGTGGCAGGGTCGTTTTCTGGGCATAGTTACACCCTGATCGGGTCACCCAGGCTTATAGTAGAGTAGAACGATCTTGAGTGATGCTGAAGCGTTGCCTCGCAGTAATTGTTTCTGCGATCTGCGAGCTCACCTTTTAATTACTGTAGGCGCCGCAGGTAACAACAATCAATGATGTCCTGCGAGCGCACAAGACTGAATCGTCTGGAGTCGTTTCATGTTGGTTCTCGTGATGCATAGAGGCACTAAACTGGGGTGTTGTCTCGCTCGTGCGTCGCAGTTTGCGTTGATCGAGCTCTGACGAAGGCGAAGATCCGAGAAACGCTAGCCTACGAAAGTATCCTAATCTTCACGGCTTGCCTAAATATTCACCCCGAACGTGCGTGAAATTCTGCAGAGGGGTGTGCACTCGGAACTGCGTTAGAGCTATCTCTCGGAGAATCCGAAGGCCTCTTGAGTGACCATCTGACGAAAGAAAAAATCGATTCCACGCTGATCAAGCTCTTGTTGGGACATGCAATGGAAACCGACACTTCAAGTTTGGTGCTCTGATTGCTTTTGAAATGATAATGAGTGTTCATGGTTGTCTCAACTAGTGTGAAAGCCAGTGTGTTTTTCCTCTTCGCAGATGGGTTCGCGATTTCAACAGGACGAGACCCAGTCCACGATTCAACCGCAGTTCATAAATGAGGCAGCGGCCCCAGTTCTGAACTGCCGCACCACCGCCCAAGTCAGCCCTTGTGACCATTGGATCCTCTTTTGTCCATGATGGACGACATAATAGCGAGAACTCTTTTTAAGTAGGCTCCGCATTTCTACTCGCAATCTAATTCCATCGCAATGCTCAGATATCTTGCTTACAAGTTCCTAAAAAAATTTTTCTTGAGGCAATACTCTTGTGGTAGTATCTTTTAAGATCCACAACAGGAGGCTCCTTGCGAGGAGAGAAGGCAGAGACGCAGCCGACCAGTGGACGAGTTGCAGCGCTTGTTGTGCGATGGGAGACGTACTGTGGTACATTCTCTTCAACTTGACGGCAATAGCTACAGTACGCGCTGCGACTCGTCCGCCGACCCTGTGGTAGTCCAATTTTGTACGACGTCACTCAGAAATTCTGAAGCAACATTCCCATCAGTTGTATCGAAGAATCTATTCAGTGGGTGGGTCTGAGTAGCCCACGATGTGCGCGATGTGCGCGTTGATGGCTCGAAGGTGCGCGAACATTGGCGCTATGGGGAAGTTATACGATTACAAAGTCAGCATTTGACGAGTAGTCTGAGTATTTGGACGAGATACGTCGCGTAAATCCCCATAACTCGCAACGTAGACTACGACGTGGCGGCTTGCTCAAATACAAGCGGGTTAATGAAGCCGTAGAGTAGGGAAACTCGCACAACTTGCCTGGCCCAGTCTTTTCTTTGCTTCGTTTTCATTTTTAGCCGATTCGGCATCCACAACTTCATGAGATTGCTATTTTAGAGTAACTGAACCGGCATTGATGTCATCTCCTTTCCCATATGTTTTCTTTTTCGAGAAAAGGACAGAGATAATTTCAGAACACACATAATCCTATTAATTGTTTATTCCAAGAAAAATTGCGTATTAGATTTAAGCCGAGTAAAGGAGAGCCTTAGGCGAAACAAAATTATGACAAACGTGACGATGAGCAACATTTATCACCCGGGAAACGGCCGGTCAATCGCTATGACTAGGCACGTCGATGAAACGGAATATACGTATTAAAGGCACAGAACGACGACAATTAGAAACAACTCGTGCGCTATGAAACGCGCCCGCGCTAAGTGATGAAAGCGAGAGAACTTCGAGGAAGTTGAATCGACTATATCCGGATATGTACACGAATCAACAATGGACGATAGCCCTGGCAATGTGGAACGATGTGAACGAAATGAAAAAATAAAAAAGAACGAAACGACGACGAATAAGGGGGGGGAGAGGCAATTAGCAAAATGACAATGATCTTGCACAATCACGACGCATAAAGATCGACGAAATAATGCATACTCGTGCATTTCGCTTCAACCATGCCGAACACCACGGCGATCGGTCCGCGCAGGTTCGTACCTGAAAATATCCGCTGTGGTCTCTATCGAAATCCCGAAAGTTCTTCCATTTCTGAGTACAGTGTTGTAAAAAAAGAACTAGAAAAGTGTTGCAAATAAAGAAAGAGCCTCCCGTCACGAACAACATTCTGGAATGCGCCACGCATTTTACTTCCATTTAGAATCATAGTGGAATTTTACGCGATACTCTTCTCCTCCCTAGCAATAATCCAACCGCGCACTCGCTAGGTCCGCTAATTTCAATTTTTTAATCATGGCCTGCGTCTGGAGCGTTTTCAGCCGGCCTTTCAACCTTAGCCTAACCCTGGTACTAGAACCGTGTTGCAATTTCCGCGCGGCATAGTTTAACCTAGGCAAGAATCGAACTCGTGGCTCAGCTAGAGCTGCAGACATCAGTCTACACTCTTCAACCCTGCCCATCGCCTACCGGAAGCACTCAGAAGGAAACTCAAACTCCTTGTTGAAGGTCCGCGCAATGGTTTACGTGATGGGTTTTTCCTCCCCGCCATTTTCCCACTACTCTGGAGGTAGCTATAGTACCCGGTCGCCTGGCGTCATTCGGTCTGAACTTGGATCCTCCGGCCTATGCGCGGGTTGGCGATGCCCTTGGCGCTTAAAGCTGTGAGGACATAATTTGTGAACCATCATTCCACCTAAAAAGGGCCAACAATGCATCACAGGAACCTGGGAAGGAATAGAAAGACATCTCTGACTTGTCCATCCGGAGGGGATGGTTGCAATTTAGCTATTTGTGAGAAACTTTCAGGGAATTTCAAGGGTTCTAACATTTCACTGATGTGCAACGACAAGACTGGTGTCTCTTCCCTTCCAGCCAACGCAGTTTTCAGAGAGTGGAATGGGAGAATTGTGTACCAACTTTGGAAAAAAGGGCGATCGTATTCTTGAAAATTTCCACCCATGTAGTGTTGCGTTGGGTGTAAATTTGGTCGTACATAAGAGGCTGATTCGTCAATCAACTGGAATCCACACCCATCCTATCGCGCTGCGAGATTACGCCGTGAATGTAACATACAGATGAGTTCATCACTATGTTTAATTTCGGTTGAACAAGCTGAGAACCGGATGTATGGCCCACTAAAACTGCCGCGCTCGGCCAAAAACTGTTATGCAATTACGTACGCCCCCCCCCTGATTTGTTGACTGCTCTACAAAGAACCTTCAATTTTGGACTACTTCTAATAGGACCTTCAGGAAGCAATAACGATGAGGTTCATACTTTAGATTAGGTGTGTAAATTGCAAGTGCGGCAAAGGCGATGATACTTGGCTCTGCAACTTTCGCCGCGCTCGAACGTATGCACTTCTTTATTATTGAATCAATCCGAATCATCATCTCTCGCCATAGGCGTGGCTTAAGCGATGGAGTCGGTGAAGTTCTTTGGTTCAAACTAAATGTTCTTGAGGTGATAACCGTGCAGATGTGCTGATTTGGACGGATTCTTCCAGGACAGAGACGCGATGGGTGATTCGCTCTTTCGCAATTGTCACCTTCCCAAAACACTAATTTTGAAGGCGGAGCTTGCGAATAGAGGGCAGCCTATTATAAGTAAGTTAGAGGTGGTCAGTGGTGCCGAGATGAAGAAAAAACCATGAAAAACGGCCAGAACCCGAGAAATGGACCCCTTCTTGCCCGTTGATTTCCGCATTGATGCGACTCTCATCGGTGCTGCCCTCTTCAACGCTAACGCTCTCTCTGCTAAACGGCTAGAGACCTGCGTGAGTGGTTAGCCAGTCGGGCGTGCCGCGCCGATAGCGCCGCGGGGACGGCCATGCTAGGTCGCCGGGCACATCTTTCGCTGCGATTTTGAAGTCGGTACGCACCCTTAGGGAGTCCGCCTGTCTTTCTATTAGATAGAGATCCCTTCCTTCAACCTTCAGCCCTATCGTGGAATCCTCCTTAACTGTATTTGCAAAGAAGAGCGATAATCAAATGAAGTACGCACCGGTGTACTGCCGGTATCATTCGACACTATCGGCCGGTCAGTCGAAGTTGAACTTGTACGTCGACCCGCAGCACGCACGTCTCCTCCTGAAATCAAGGATTTGCGAAACACGAGGGTTTGCGAAGCGAAAACCCACAGAAACTTTGAAATGCGAGACGGTCAATTCAATCGTCGGCTACGAGGTCACGCCGCTCACGCGGCGGGCAGCGTCGCGTGCGGCAGTTGGTGCGGCGACTTCTGTGTGGGCCTTGACTTAACCATCCATGACCATATGCTGCGGGTGGATTCAGTAACTGATAACACCAGAGTGCTAGACATCAGTAGAGTGGCATCAGACTGCCACGACTGAATCGTCACGCACCCACCCACACGAGATGTACGCACAATTCACTATGGCACGATTTGGACGAAGTTCTGTGGCCTCGACGGTCCCTACTGGTACCCCAAAAATGGCTTAGTTAGATGTAGTCCTAACTCACGCGGTCTGCTGCGAGCAGCGTCGGCTCGTATCCGCTGTCGCATCGCCTCCAGACGCGCCTGCTGCTCACGAAACCGTTCTATGGCGGCAGCTCGAGCCTCTGCCGTCACGACCACTCGCTGAAAATAGCGCAAAATGAGCCACTTGCTCAGACAGGCTAAAAACTAGGAAATTGTGTAAATAAAAGTGGACGAAAGAGCTATTAGGCTAGTTCGAAAATCTCGATTTCTCTGAATTCACATACCGGTCTTATAATTTGCGATGGCCGGAACTGCCGACGCCGGAAGAATGGAGTCGTGACCACTGGAGGTTGAGTAGTAGTCGTGGTGGTGGTTGTTGAAGTTGTAGTGGTTGTAGTAGGTCGAGTAGTACCAATGCGAGCTGCAGTATTCAGCGGTGACTCAACAAAGATCCACCCCTGTTTGTGATCAGCACGTTGTGGCTGAGAAGGCACACGAAAGACTTTTGCTAAGCTCCTAGTAGGTGCATCAGTGATGAAGACTGGGGAAGTTAAAGTGGTGGTGGGCGGTGGAAGGAAAGGTTGAAAAAGCGTAGTGTCGTGAGGAAGCGGTGCGGACTGTATGTCAATACCCCAGCTGACAGCTCCGGTGTCCATCCATGGTGTGATGGTGTGCGTCGTGGTGAACATCATCGTGGTGGTCGTCGCCATCGTGGTTGTGGTGGTGGTGGTGCTGCTGCTGCTTGTTGTGCTCGTCTCCACTATTGAAGACGTAGCAGATGCTACAGGACTAACAGGTGTGTTCGCAGTGGAAATACTAGGCAAGTCTAAAAGCATCTACAACGATCTAAAAGCATTCACTATCAGGTTGCTAAAATTGAAATGAGTGAACATTTCCACATGTTTTTTGTTATTTCTTCTCATAGTCCCTCACCTCAAAAATTGAAAAATAGAAAATGCAATAGAAAAAAATTTAAACTTTTACTGCTTTGATTGAAGTAGAATAAATGGGCGTGGGGGGGGGGGCGGTCTGCACGCCCTCGCCGGTGTTGTAGAGAGTGGAAATTGTCCGGGAATTCGTCGACGACTCGTCGAGGATTCTTGCCTGTTCAGCCACAATCTCCCGCGCCGACATTCTCTCTCAAGCCGTCGTCTGTGCTCTCCGCGCGCACATGCATCTCGACATTATTCTCGCATATCACAGAGCCATGGTCGAGGAGCTCCTCGCCCGTTGTTCACCCTGGTGTTGTATATACGTGGACCAGGCCATATTCCAACCCCTTCAACAAGTGGACGTCCCCAAATTGACTTCCCAGCCATCTTAATCACCGCTCTTAGGCCGATGTCAGATTTTGCGAATCACGCGATTCCGCTCCTAGCGATTCGATAATTCGCTAACGTCCGCGGTCGCGTTGCGGTACCAGCCAATTGAGTGATTCACTGGCCGCGACGCGACCGCAGACGCTAGCGAATCGCGCGATTCGCAATCGACAATCGCTTCAGGAGAATTCTCAGGAAGCAGATTGGCCAACTATTCTATCGCACGCTTTACGACTCCACTTTAATTGCTGAAGTGGAGCGAAGAAGGGCTACCAAGGGCAAATCCCTGTTGGCGCTCGAAAGCGCCGCAAGAAATAGCGCTAGGTCTACATAGGTGAGCTATACGCGGACTGGCTCTCACGTATGGACGATTTACCGTCGCGCTCAACTAACCCCACCGACACGGCAGCCGTGATTACGGCATAGTCACTAATTCAAATATGAGCGAGTTGGCTAAGCTGTGGAGCAGGCAAGTCTGTACGACTCGTCCGTCCCCGCCCCCACCTTACTTCAAGGGAAATCCTTGTTAGAAGTCCATCGATGGCTTTCCTTGCTTCTTTTTAATTCCAAGTTTTATTCGCTCAGGTATCTCACAACTTGATTATTGACACCGCCCGTCCGCCCTGCACGTGTTTTTTTTAGGATGCACACCGAAAGCCCACTCTTGTCATTTAGCACCTTCTTCTTTTTTCCTTGTAACCTTGTCACGAATAGGGAGCATGATTGTAGGGGTAAATGTTGATACAAGGCCCTACGGATGAAATCTCAATCTATAGAGAATATTTCCCCTAACTATAGAGTTTGTGATTAAAACTAATAATTCCAATTTTAACAACCTAACTCAAATTTCGACGAGCGAGTGATACGAGTTTGCCTGTGCTACTACAAACCAAATACTAAGCCCTTGATTTGCCTTGACACTACCTCGCCTCAGCTTCAGCACCGCTTCGATGACCACCTTGATGCCAGCCCATGTCTCACGTCCTGTTGGGATCAACTGACGGGAGTCAAGGATGAATCCATCCCATACTGAAATTGTAAACGATTAATGGTGTTCCTTGAGAATCTGTGATAGAACTTTTCTTTTCTCTACACTACTAGGCGCGGAGGCTCGAAAACCCGAAAAACTGGGCATCTTTCTGCCAGTTGATTCCAGGAGTGGGAGAGTTCACCGCTATGTAGCATAGAGGTTCTTTGGGTGAAGTTTCGTATAACTTCGTGATGCCACAAAGAGACGAGAGGACGTATACCGCGTACGGCCAACCATCCTTTGGTATAAGTACAATACAAACGAGGAGTAGGTTCGTATACGAGAATTTAGGAAGGAGGGGGTCATATTTGGGATTGACCAAGGTAAAGCGCATTTTGAATAAGCGGACAAGTGAGGGAGTTTGTGGAAAGTTAAGGGGTTGAAGTTGCCATAGAGAGGGGGCCGTTCTGACAGGTTTTTTAACGATTCGGTGAAAGTTTGCGAAGGAAGGGTTAAAGAAACAAAATCAGAACATTTGCCGTTGAGCAACCACGATAGTGAGGGTGATGATCGGAGGTGGGGATGGGGATTGTAAAGGGGACCCCCTAACCGCGTGGTGTTTTGTGGGATATCGTGAAGGAAGGGCGTAGAAAATTTTGAAAAAGCAATCAACGGCTATGAAATAAATTTCTTAATGACCGGACGCGCAGATATATCAAATAAAAGAGACCAATCGACTCGATGACGGTTGCGTTTTACTTCAAACGCCATTACGCCTAAACACCCTACCAGTGAGGCGATGGTGTGTCTAAGGGCGAAGAGCTGTTGCGATTTTTCGGGCACTTTATCAACGCCACTTATAACGAGCGTTTTTCAGTGCACTATTCCGCTTTGGATAGCCCGTATCCTTAACCAGTCTATTACATAAACATGGCGAATTGTCGCGAGTTCTGTCTTTAACATCATAAGCTTTAAAAAGCTCGTTTCCTAATATCTTCCTGTAGACATTCAAGAAGATTGACTCACCTTCTTCACTTGGACGCAATTCCATCAAGTAGACATACTTGGCACCGCCTTTTCCTTTTGCCCAGTCGTCTGATCCTCCAGACGAAGGGTCTGAAATCAAATGTTCACACTCAAGGGCATGGTTACTATCAGTAATAAATTCAATATTTTACCGTGTCCAGTTATAGAAAGGCCTCACAGCAAAGCGGAGGGGAAAGAGCGTCGTACCCGACAGAAGCCTTGTCGCGCGGCGATGAGGCAGCAGACAAACTTTTGCTCGTTCGGCTGGTCCCGCAAAGTTGCTTTAGGTGCGAGTGGTTAATAGAGAGCTTCCAACCCTGACCGCTAGAAAAATCCTTAGCACTAAAGGTGCGGACCGCAACAAAGTGCCCGTCTCCCCATCCCTCCCCTTTCCTATGCCATCTTCACACAAAAACGATCTACGATGAAAAGATCCATCTAAACAGGGTTTATAAGAAAAATTGCAGCGCTTCATCGAATGGGCAAGTTTTCAAAAAATACTAAGCCAACTAACACAGAATATCGGCTCCAGTTCCAAATCGGTATTTCGTCCCATAGACATTCTCCAGAGCTGCTACCGCCCTTCTGCCAACTTGTTCCTGAATGAAGTACGATGCTGCTTCTTATGGCGTAAGTCTCAAAGAAAAGAAGAAGAATATATTGTGCACAGTACAAGGTTCATTTGAATGTCCTCAGTACCGGTCCTTCTCTGATGACTGAAAGGATGAATCCACATCTGAAGGAATTGAAAAGGTGATTGTGAGGTATTTAGGCGCAAGAAATATGTATACCAACCTGAGAGTAGGTATGCAGGGTAAGAAATGCGTCTACTTTTCCTCTCAACTCTGGCGAGAACATCATATCACGTACCGCCCTAGAAAGGCGCTACAAATGAGTTGTCATGAAATCTTGATTTTTGGAAGGTTCACACTATGAAAAGTGAAACATGAATGAGTCAAACCTGGATTCAGCCTCACTGAAAGGTGCCTTTCCTTGGTAGATCTCCGAACAACGGTCGGAGCTCGAACCAATCTCTGCAAGAATGCCCCAATTAGATTGCTCGTGAACAGATGATCCTATTTCTATTGGTCTTTTCCATTGATAAAAGATAACGCTCTGATAGGAACATAGTCTACTTGGCATCTAACGGGGTTACTCATGCAACTGCAGAAGGGCTCCATTTTTGGACACTAACCAGCACTCCTAGGCGACCAGTCTGGGATCAATGAAAAATTCTGAGCCATTTTGATACAATACTCTCCGTTTGAGGATAACAAAGGATAAGGCATTCTCTGCTGACCAATCTTTCTCAAGATACGCCACGCATTCTACTTTCGTTTAGGATTCTAATGCTACTTGGACAAGATTCTTCCTACTTTTCTTACGAAAGCGATCGTATAGAGCCTTTTCCGAAACGTACCTCCCCAAAACCAGTCAAAATTTCGGTTGAGATCTACACCTCCACAACATCGTTCGCGGAACCATTGGTCCTTTTTGCAGATCATATTCGAGCGGTTTTTTCGCCAAAGACGAATCTGGAAAGTATCGTGCAATTACGATAACTAATACTAATATAATAATACTGACTACAATAACTACAGGAATTCTTTGAAAAGAACTACTAGAAAATACATCAAACTTTTATGTGCAAATATCGAAAACGCCTCACGACACTATATTGGATGAGAAAAAAATGAAAATGTTCTCATTACCCACCATAGGCGAAACTCCGCTTCGAGAATACTCATAGCCGTCGGGATTGAGAACTGGGAAGAGGTAGAAATTGAGTTGGTCGACTGCTCGATGGACCAAAGGATCTGTGTCGTAGTCGGCGATTAGCTGAAATACATTTTCACCGTACACTTATTTGGAAATTCTTCGAAGCATCAAGAGAAGCGTCAAGCGCTTCGGCTCCGATCAATCCCATTTTGGGATGCGGCACGCATTCTACTTCCATTCACATTCGTAGTGGCATTTGAATGCGATGTGGCCTATACAATGACTTGCGGGGCCAGCCGATGTACAAGTCAGTGTTTTTATCCTCCCAGACAAGTCTGGTACCAATTAACCGACCCCGGAGGGATGGAAGGCTTGGTTGGCCCGGGCGACTCACGACCCAGGATTTGATCCCCGGACCGCTCGCGTGGTAAGCGCGCCACTCCACTATGCCACTTCCCTCAGCATCAACTGGAAACTTCTCCTTAATTATTTCGCCGGGAATCGATTGGATAATATACATTCTATTCAATACCTAATACTATCCATTTGAGAATAGCTGAAAGGAC